GAAATTGCCTCTTGGTGTTTGCAGGCACTGGCTGGGGACTGGAAATAGGCTATTTGTGATCATTCGGACAGGGGTGGCTGTGTGACTTTGGCAGCCTGATTGTAAGCTTGCTAGGTGTGTTGGTCCTTCCTCTCAAATCTTGGGTGCAGAAGAAAGTGTTTGACTTGCATCTTTTGAGGATTGCCTTGCCCTCATAAATGAAGGCAAGTGCTCATCCTCCGTTGACGTCACACTCAATCTCCTGCTCAAGGGAGAATGTAGATTTAGAATTGGGGATCTCACTAATTAAATCAGTTTGGAGTGCAAGAAAAGCAAAATCCCTTCTCTAGACAAGCCATCAGTAGGTCAAAAAGCAAGGAGCAGCACCTGTTAGTCAATAAATACAATGCTTTTAGTTCTAATTGAACTGTTGTTGCCTAATAGATACTAGCCAGCACTAAATGATGAAAGCCAAAACTAATTTTTGCCCATTATGTGTAAAAAATATTTTATGTAAGGATGGATTAGGAGTGTTGCAAAATGTCATATATCAGGATTCAGCTGATAACTGTCACACAATGTATTTTTTATAATATTTCAAACAGAAACCTTACTTAACCCTTGGGTATTTTGAAAAACAAATGTAAGATGTCAGGGGTAGAATTAGAATTAAGCTTTCATTTTCTTGGCTGTTGGGTTGTGGTTGATCTAAGTAGTCTTAGTAATGCTAAACATGTTCTAGGGAGAAAAGAAAATCCTCAAAATTAAACACTGGGCAGTTGGGCTATTTTTAAGATTTTATATAACTTCAAAACATCTGTTTCAAAAAAAAACCCCAGCTATTGTGTCATGGAATTGTGGCAACAGTGGACTTTTAAAATTAGTTTAGGTCTTTTTGACAAAAAAAAATGTTTTTTGCATTCCAAACTTAACAAAAACTCATTCCATTTGATAATTTAGAAAAAAAAAAAAAACAACCAACGAACACCTGTGTTGGATTATGACTCTGAAAACCTTGAAGGGGTTGTGAGTAATTTTAGACAAGCACACCTTGAATTTCACTCACCTTGTTTCAGGCCAGTATTTATCACTCAGGATTAATAGAAAACATACCTACAATAACTTTCTCCTGCTGGAGTACATCAAGGAAAGGTTTTTGCAGCAGGGCATGGTTAGGTAGTGTGAGCTCTACTCTTGCGCTTGCAAACCTTCAACACAGAAGGAAGAAAATTCAGTTTATTTGATTTCTGTCGTACAAGTTAGCAAAAAGGAATGGATGTCAGCTGCCATGGCCCTCTCTAGCTCTCTCCTAGCAAGCCTTCAACAGACTGGGAAGACCTTCTCCTCCTTCCTGAAGTTGTGTCTTTCTGGACTGAGTCTGAAATGTTCTTTGACCAATAGTCTCTGTAGAGGTGTTTTTATAAGTTAGGACGTGGCTCAGATAAATCAACACGAGGCTTCACACGAAGGAGGAGAGCACGTCCGGGCAAGCTGCAGCTTCAGTCCCTCTTCTGCACCTCTCCCATTCTTTGGGCTGTATTTCCACGTGTGCTCTTTCTCCACGTGACCTCCTCAGGGTCACCTGTTTCCAATGGCAGCCTGCCTATTTCTTCAAAAGCAAACCCCACATGCTCCAGTCTCATCCTTCTCCCACGTTTCCCCACCTCTTCTCTCATGCTTTTCCATCTGCTCCACTACCTGGTTTTCATGTTGTCTTACATCTCTGTTTCTGTCCCCATCTCTCTCTCCCCTGTGCCCCCGCTGAACAGGCTGTGACGGGAGTGACAGGCTCCAGTTCTGGGAGGGCAAGAGTGTGCTTTGTGGTTAGCTCTCGAGCGCTGTTATGACTCGAACAGGAAATCACCTCCGTGCTCCTCCCCACATTCCCATCAGCGCTGCTCAAGTCAAAGGGTTTCACTAGCCTGACTTCATACCTGGCAGTCCCAGAGCTCCAGCCACCCACCAGGAGAAAGGCAGCTAAGCTGTAATGGCTCCTACATGCCTCTCCTCCTTATCCAGCCTGTCGAGTTTGAGTCTAAAAGAATTGGCATAGAGAAAAGCTTTCAAGCCTGCTTAATTTAAAAAAACTCAACTCATTTGTTTGAATTGTTGCTAAAATGACTAATAGCAGGCAATGACATTTGCTAACATGTATTCCTGGCTTTGCTGGGTTTCCCTTCCTCTCTGTGACTTCTGATCTCCAATTTTGGCTCGGTTTCCCTTTTTGCCGTTTGGTGTACTCCCTTGCCTTCCTGCATGGCCAGTGCCCGCTTGCTCGAGGCTGCAGAGGTACCGGAAAAGACAGCCCAACCCTCTGCTAGTGAGTGCCACCAAACAATGCCAAATGGGCATTTGTTCTGACCGAGTATGACCATTTTTGTGTTATGCTTAGGCATGTGTTTGAGGGACTGTTTTTCACTGAGAACGACATAACCATTGAAACAGACCAGCTGGAGGAAGAAAAGAGAGCAAACATTTCTTTAAAAAAGTGAAGAGCAGCAACATAGAAGGAGCAAGCAAGATTTCACAGGAGTTTGGTGGAGGTCACCCAAAGCTGAACAAAAAGACTAAAGAAAGGGCGGTGGCTTACAGCATTGCCAGAAGCGATATTTAGTGTCCTAGATTGCTCCTGAGTTGCTTGATGCTTCACTGGTGGGTCTAAGCTCCCAGTGGGAGAAGGTGAATCAGGGACTCGGCCTGTTTGAAAGGCTGCCTTCTCTCTGAGGTGTGTAAGTGTGGATTAGATCTGTGGCCTTGACGTGGCAGCTGCAAATGGTGAGGCACGGGGAGTACCTGCAGCATTGTCCATAAATTCAGTGCGCAGCACAAAGGAGCTGCTTCCATCAGAGGTGCTGCCAAGGCCACTTTTGTATAAGAAAATGCAACAGAAATTGCAGTCAAGGTCTCTGTTGTCAGAAAAGGAGTTCCTCTGTTAAATTCTGAGACTCCTCTGTAGGGGAGGAGTCCCTGGGTTTTACTGCTGTGGCTATTGGGAAAAGCAGTGTTGCAGTAAGGCTCACCTCTCTTAGTGCTTTCCACATCACTCACTGTCTTAAAGTACATATTACAGTTGTCTAGAGAAGCCCTGTGACTTTCTTTGTTGTTTGGTTTTATTGGGTAATTTGGTGTTTGCGCCCTGGTAGCCATGCCACAGTAACATGCGGCAGATGATTGCTCTGCTTGAGAGCAGTACAGTCAACAACAGTACTTAGATAGGAGGCGTTTCTGTGCCAACACGTCAGCTTTCAGTGGCTCCTCTGCCTTATCCCCACCCCAGAACTTTAGCCAGTGTACAGAGAAAAAAAAAAAAAAAATCTACGTTTTTGTGTTTTTGTGTATTTTTATGCTTTGCAGCTGATTGATAAGTTACCCAACCTGAGTGAAAAGCTAACAAATCTGTTTACAGCGAGAGGGCACAGGTGGCTGCAGCTGTACTTGTTCTGCAGCATTGACGTTAAACACAGCTCTTTGTCACTGAGATGGGCAGTGATGCCTCCTAGCAAATGAAGAGCAGCTACACTGAACGGGTAGTAGTTGTAACATGGAAATTACGTGTGTTTAATAGTTGTATTTGTATATGTGTGTGTGTGTTCGATGTGTGTATAGATAGATAGATATGGCTATAACAAAACCCCAGCTTTGAACAGTACTGTCTGGAGCAAGGCAGACACCTGGCAAGGCTCTATGCGATTAAAACCGACCAGGTTTTTAAGCCCAGCAGACACTTTCATAAAGAGAAGATGAGGCACCTGCCATGCACTCTTTCACTCGTGTGAATAATCTCACTGACGTCAGTGGGGTTTTTCGCTCACACGTGAAGGTGTTTTCGGGCTAAGTCATGTCTGTTTTGGAGAGTCTCGCAATACCTTATTCTGAGATCAGGACCTGTCTCTTCGTTGTGGTGTTGCAGTGTGCAAGCCTATATTATTGCCTTCTTTCCAGTCCAGGTGTGCAGAGTCATGAAGATGGAAAGAATGATATTACTCAAGGTTTGATTTACAGCGTTTTCAAAGACAGTAATAAGGGCTCTAGGTTTTTCCATGCAAGAAATAAATAGACTTTGTTATACTGGGAAGTGATGACAGCCATTGCAGGCTACCAATGAGACAGACTACACCTAGCAAAACAACATGCATGACTGGTTTCTCCTCTCACATAGGTCAGTACGAACTGAAAATACTCCATATAACACCCATGCCCTTATCCCAGTTAATAGAAACAAAGTCAGAATATAACTGGATATGTTGTTTTTAAAGACAAGATACAGAAATAAGCAGCTGCTGCACATACATAAGTCCTTTCCTGACGATAACCCTGCAACATACAAGCTCCATGTATAATCAATTTTCTATGCATGCTTCCTGATACTATTAAGCATCGAATAGACATGAAGGAGTTTATTCTTAACTCTTCGTGGAGAAATAGGGGAGTACGGTAGTTTTATTCTTGTTTTACAGATGCAGAATTGAGGAATGAAAAAAAAAAACTTGTATGATTTGTTGTAAGGGTAAATGGAGGTCTTTACTAAAGGGGCAAGACCAGAAATAGAAACCAAATCTCTGCTTTTGCAGCAAATGGAAAGTTAACGGTCTTAGTCCTTCTGCCTTCCAAATCACACTGAGCTGGAGGCAGGTGGGAGCATGCTGGCAGTGTTATAATGCTTCAGATCGTGTAAAGATACAGTCTGTGGGTTCTGCGTGCTGAGATTGGCTCATCTGCTGCAGTCAGTGTTTCTGTTTTGAATCTTTAATTACCACAGCACAAACCACACTGGGAGGAGGGAAATTTTAAAATTAAAAAAAAAAAAAAAATTGACAAAACCCCCACCTTTGAATGTTACTAGTTTAATTCTATTAATTCTATTATTCTATTTATTCTAATGTAACAGACAAATGCATGACTCTTGCTACTTTAAAATGTGCTCGAGGAATATAATTGTTTTTATGCAAGCGTGGCCCAATGTCAAAAGGTACAGGCAAACAAAAAACTATTCAGAAAACCAATGGAAGTCATTTCCCCCGCCTCCAGCCAGTTCAATTCGGTGACTATGGATTAGCCTGATAAGCAGTACACATTTTAAAAATTTTTGAAGGAAAAAAAGGTGTGAAAAGTGGCCTGTTAGAGTCATTCTAGCTGCCCTGCACCTGATTCAGCAGTACCTCTGCCAAATTTATTACTTCATAATGCGAAGCCAGATTTATTAGGTAGTGTAAGAAGGCCTGTCAAAATGGGGCTGGCAGTAACCTTAAGAGATCCCCCTATCTGTCCCATTACCCCTAGGCAGAATCAGCTAAATCAGTGTCATTTCTGGAAGATATTTCTCTAATTTGCTTTTCAAAAGATCCAGCAGCCCTCCTAGGTGACCCATCCTCACGTGTTGCTCCTCTTCCCATAAGGGGTTACTCCCAGTGCTACCTATCTGGCTGAAACTGAACTCCATTCATGGACACGGAGGATAGATTATTCTTCTCATGTGAAGACTTACAGTGTTCTCTGCCACTCCTCCCTGGACAAGGTGCATTCCTGTAAAGTTTAACTGCCAAGGAAGCAGAGATCAAAGCTGATGGGCTTAGGTTTGACCACCATCCCCACTGGAGGGAGAGATGCATCCAGTCTGGTCCATCCTAACTAGAGAGATGAACCAACCTATGGAAGAGTTTATCTTCCTCTGCACTTTATGACCACTGCAAAGTAGATGCCTTGCTCAGCCCATTACCAGAGACAAATCTCCTCCTTATCTGCTGCTGTTTAAGGGCTAGAATTTTTTTAGTCTTTCCTCTGAAGGTTTTAGTACTGTGCAGTATATACCGTGTTCTCCTCCAGACTCTGTTTTATTCTTAAATCTCTCCTTGTTGGCCTTTTTAGTTTTTCTTCATTGTTTTTTAAGGAGAAGCCCTTTATAGCTTTGATTCCCAGCAATCTAGGAAAATACCTACGTTGTATTTCCTCCTACTTGGGAATTGGAGCAGAAAGTCCCTCCCTCCCTTTCTACACAGATTGCCTGTCTGCCTTTCTCAGGGCTTGGGCAGCGTTGTGTGCTTCTGATGTAATTTTTATTTTTTAATCTCTTACTACCGGTTGTAGATTATGGTGTTGATGGGTTTCTTGAAGTCTCATACGCTTTGGTGCTGGGATGTGGTACAAAGAATTAAACTTGATGCATGGATGATTTCTTGTAGTCCATATAATGCTGGGTTTGGTTTGTTCTTCTTCGTAGCATGCACATTAGTGGATTAGGAGCTTCTCTGTTTTACTGAACAATTGTTGCCGATTTTAGGCTGTTTTCTTGGCTCTCTTGGACAGCTTTATCTTTATATTTGGAGTAGTTTCACCTAAAGCAGTTGCAGAGGACATTTATTTTGGAGGAAATCAAAACCTTTTCTTTTCTAGGTTCTGTATCTCCCACTTGGAAGCAAATGTTAGAGTAAGGCAGATTCCTGGAGGTCTCTTTCTGCTGCTTTCACATGCCCTGGCATCCTGGAACTTTTTTTATTTCATTGTAACTGAGTCTATGGTTTGAGCTCTTGCAAGATGACTGTCACAGGGCATTTCTGTGTCCAAGTGTTGAAGGAAATGGGCCTTTCTGTGTACTTTTTGTAAATAAATAAGCTTGTCCTAAGGACTATACCTGATGAAACTTGTTCTCCAACTAGAAAAAATTTAAAAGCCACTGAACGCTAGGTAAGTGCTAGAGATAAGAGAGCGTTAGAAGTACCCTCCATAAACAGCTTTATGATCTGAAGATATAGATGCAGGCATATACCAGAGTTTGTTTTGGATATTAACATACAGCTAGAGGCTCAGAAAACCCACAGTTTCCACTGAGACAGTTTAAAGCAATTGGTCTCTATAGAATTGCAAGGAGATTGTTTTAATAAATGTATTGAAGAGAAAAGCTTTTCCTGTTTGGCTCAAAGACAGCTAGAAGTCAGCAAGTTAATCAGGAAAGTGGTGGTGACTTTTACTTAAAAAAGCAACTATATGTTGCATGTACAGGAGGATGAACACTATTACTATAGTACAAAAACCCCTTAAGGTCTGCTTAAGGAAGTAACAAAGGTCAAGGACTATTCTTTCATACAGGTTCCCATGTTTGTGTTAGTATGCTTTATTTCCCCCTTACTTTTTCTCTTCTTGATATCTTAAGAACTAGAATTGCATCCCTGGAGGACAAGCTTTGACGGTTTTGAGGAAGGGTTTTGAAAAGTCCTGAAGAACCACAGATTCACTTTTTCTCTTCCCCGTTAAGCTCTCATGGCCGCTTGCAATGAGAAGCTCCTTGCCAGCAGCTGCAGCTTCAGGGCTTATCTCGGGGTTGCTCCCATGGGCGCAGCTATCATGGCAGGAGGTGCTGGGGATTGAGTCACAACTTGGAGCTGGGGATTCTGCCCATGGGCCTCTGTTTTGCAAGCAATTTAGCAATGTGAGCGTCTCCATCAAATTTAATAGATTAGGAGTGTGTATTAGGAAGATGTGAAACGGGGTTCTTAAGAACCCCAGACTTGCTTGTTTATTCATTTCCAAAGCTGGTGCAATGAACAGCAACTTAAGTGACCTAGCAGTAGGTGTGCACTTTTGCCTTTCTGGAGAGTCAACACAGATGATCAAGTGACGCTGGGGCTATTGTGATCATCTGATCTGATTCTCCAGTGTGAAGTCATACTTATGTTTGTAAAGCTGTGTTTGCAGTAGATGCCATGTGTCTTTTTAAAAGTACTTAGTTTGATTTTTAAAAGTCCACTCAGCTACAAAAAGTCCTACTGAAGCATCACAGATATTCTTATAGTTCCCAGTGTTAAATTGTTCTGATATTCAAATACCTTTACAATTTTAAAAATGTGTGTCTCTTCTAAGCTAAACTTTTCTAGCTTTAGCTTCCAGTCCCTGGATATATCCAAGACAATGTCTGTCATAAATGGCAAAGCCGTTTTTGCTAGGGAAAAAAACACACTCATACGGCTGGAATTTATGTGTTGTCTCACAAGCTGGGTCCAGTACCAGTGTTGTGGGGCAACAAGAGGACTGCATTAGCTAGGGACACTTTTGAGAAAACTTAATTTCCATGGCCAACAACCTTGTGCTTTTAATGATAAGAAATGCAGTATGTGGGATTTTATGGCTTGCTTTAAAATAAATACCTTTTTTGGTTAACTTGGAAGCGTATCTGTTTGCAGATTCTTAGTGTATGTTGTTCATTTCTTATTTTCTTTCTCAGGAGAGTTGTATTGTTCTCTGCCCAACCCCAGGAATGTACATTTTGAATCTGTAAACATGAGGAATGTCCTTCACTGGTCACCACCAGAAGGCGCAGGAGATGGAGTACTCTACAAGGTGAAGTATCTAGTGTAAGTTGGCTTGTTTATTTTAGCCCCTGCTGGCTTTTATTCTAGCATTTTAAATAATAATTTAAAAAATCTTTATGCAAGATAGGGCTGCTAAAAAGTAAAGAAAGGAGAACTGAAATGTGGGTTATACTTAAGCAATATGGTTTTTAACTTCTTCTTCTGGTATTGCTTACTTCAGGTCCAGTTAAAAAAAAATTTGAAGGAGACTTATTTCTTCCTATGAAAGAAGAGTAGGGTGCAACATGGAAGCTTTCAGGGGCACTCCTGAGAAGTGGGGCAGAAGGACAAAGGAGGACTGTGCTGTGGATTTGCATCTGACACATAGCACACATGTAAATGGATCTGGAGATGTAGTATGTTTTACTGTATATTAACTGTGCCCAGTGTTTTGTTGGTCTTTTCTAACAGAACCAACGCCCACAGGTTTCTTCTGATCCCACAAGCCTCTAGTCTAGGAGAAAATCCACTGAAGTTATCAAGTATTGTAGAAAAACAAGTAATGTGATTGGAATCAGCCCTTAACTTTCCAAGGTCTGCACCTTTGTGGGATATCAAGGAGTTTGAGTGAGGACCAGCATCCATCTCCTTTATGCCCACCAAGAAAACACTGGGTCATTCTGAAGGAGAGTGCTGGAAGTTTACTTTATAAATAGGTGTAACACTGTTGTCATGGGTGGGATGTAAGGCTCCCAGTCTTCACCCCTAATACTTCCATTCCCTTCATCTAGTTCTATTTTCATGACACTAAAACAAATGTAGATCTCCAGAAGTTTCCTGTAACTTGAACTGGCTAATAAAAAAAGCAAGAAGTTGCTTCTACAGTCAGAGACTGCAACATCTTTTGCTCGGATCTTGGCCTCTGTGCTCACAGACGAGCTACGTAGTCCACCTCCTGGAAAAGGGGAGAGTGCTTGGTAATTACGGAATGAACGGTAATTGTGTAGAAGGTAAAAGGAGCAGGGAGCACTAGCTATGCTGGCTTAGCTGGTCCACAGAAGAGTCTGTAGCCATACGTATGGCCATCTTTCACATTTGACTACAAAAATATTCATATGTGCCCTTACCTACCTAGGAAAGTGAGGGCTTGAGCTAGGTGGAAGATGTTGTCCTGCAGTCATGTAGGAGCTGCCACATGCCCTTACTAATTAGCAGCCAAAGGGGAATTCATAATGATGCGAATTTGAGGAGCTGGAGCTTCTGAGCAAATCCAGGCAGAAATTTTCCAATGAAATCTTTATTTCTTCTACTAGTGTATAAGAGCTGGTCAGTACTGAGACATTGTTGGTAGCAGGTATATGCCTCTTTTTCAACTAGAAGGGTTTTGAAGTTCATTGTATTCCAATGGAGTCTTTCTTTTAAATGAGAAAGAGAAGTAACAGTCAGGCATGAGTAGTCTCCTGTTCAGTCATCTTGGAGACCCTGAGCATCATCTGTCTCTGTACAGTGGGATGAGCCACTGAGCATTCTGACAGAACTCTTTGTCTCTGTATAAATAGTTATCCTGACTCTGTTATCGTGTGTTTAGGGTTTAAACTAAAGCTGTGGAGACTGAAGTTGAGAGGTCTCTGGTCTATGCAAGCAAAACTGGACTTTGATTGGTATCAGAAACATCCCAGTTAGTTCCATATGGCCTTGTTGTGGTTTAACCCCAGCTGGCAACTACACGCCACGCAGCCACTCCCTCACTCCTCCCCCCACAGTGGGATGGGGAGGAGAATTGGGGAAAAAAAAAAAAAAGTAAAACTTGTGGATTGACATAAGAACAGTTTAATAGCTAAAACAAAATAATATATAATAATAATAGTAATGAAAATGAATTTAGCAAAAAGAGAGAGAAATAAAACCCAAGAAAGACAAGTGATGCAAAATGCAGTTGCTTACCACCCGCTCATCGATGCCCAGCCAGTCCCCAAGCAGCGATCCACTCCTCCTGGCCAACTCCTCCCCATTTATATACTGAGTATGATGTTCTGTGGTATGGTTATCCCTTTGGCTAGTGTGGGTCAGCTGTCCTGGCCGTGCTCCCTCCCTCTGGCCGTGCTCCCTTCCTCTGGCCGTGCTCCCTCCCTCTGGCCGTGCTCCCTCCCTGCTTCTTGTGCACCTCCTCACTAGCAGAGCATGGGAAACTGAAAAATCCTTAACTTAGGATAAGTGCCACTTAGCATCAACTAAAACATCAGTGTGTTATCAACATTATTCTCACACTAAATCCAAACCGCAGCACTGTACCAGCTACTAGGAAAAAAATTAACTCTATTCCAGCCAAAACCAGAATAAGCCTCTTCTTCTGGATAGGGTCTACTGTGATTTATTTTTCATTAAAAACTTGTGGAGATCCTGTGTTTTATCTCAGCTGAAGTTGGGAATTCCTTGAAATTGCATATTTCTACAAAACAAGCAAAGTGTTGTATCAGCCGTAATATCGGTGTCTGTGCTATATCAGGTGACTAATATTGTGGGAGTAGCTTTTGTACAGTGCCTTTCTCTTTTGATATAGATACGGTGTTGGCAAATGGATTAGAAAGCCAGAATGCAGGAATATCAACAGAACATGGTGTGACCTCTCCAGTGAGACCTCTGACTATGAAGAACAATACTATGCAAGTGTTAAAGCCTTCCTAAATGGGATGTGCTCTGACTGGATAGAGACCACACGATTCAACCCTCTTACAGACAGTAAGGAAAGCTAATCACACAGCCAGATGTTCAATGGTCTTGATTAATACTGTGTGCTCAGACTGCATATGCCAGTACCCGAAGGGGGCCTACAAGAAGGCTGAGAAGGGACTTTTTATAAGGGCATTTAGTGATAGGACAAGGGGTAATGGTGGGAAGCTGGGAGAGGGCAGGTTTAGACTAGATACAAGGAAGACGTTTTTCACCCTGAGGGTGGTGAGACACTGGAACAGGTTGCCTAAGGAAGTTGTGGATGCTCCATCCCTGGAAGTGTTCAAGACCAGGTTGGATGGAGCCTTAAGCAACCCGTTCTAGTGAGAAGTGTCCCTGCCATGGCAGGGGTATTAGTACTAGATGATCTTTGAGGTCCCTTCCAACCCAAACCGTTCTATGATTCTATGATTCATAGCATATGATAGTTTAATTTTAACATGAGGTTACATTTTTTTGCAGTTTTTTCACATTTATGCTTTTGGCAGAAGTAGTTGAATAATAATATTATAATTTGGGGGTGTGCATGTTATATACATGGTCTTATATACAATGAATACTCTTTTATACATTGGTAAAGCTTTACTCAAGACAAATAAAAGCTGTGGCACTTCCACAGCATAAGGAACGCTGATTTTGAAAAGGCTCTATTAAACCAAGCAGTAGTTGTACTCAGAGCATAATATCTCTTATCTGTGCCAGATAATCTGAGAACATACTGGTAATTTAGCTTCTTTTAGCAAATTGAGTTTCAAGGTTGTTTATCCTGTGAAGAAACCGGAATTCCTAGGCAAAATTCCAAGTCAGAATTCACCTTCTCACTGTAAAGATCCTCTTAGTTATCTGATAAAATAATTTTCTACCAATATAAATGAATTGTTTGAAGTCCTACTTAGACTCCCCAAAGCATTACAAAAATTTGATATCATTCACTTCAAGAAACTGCATGGTCAAGTCAGCGTGCCTTTGCTGCATTTGACTGCTTTTTGTGTGTGTTCATTTTTTCCAGCTAAAATTGATCCGCCCATGGTAAGTGTATCTTCTACCGAGAAATCTATTTCAGTCATTCTCACTGCTCCTGAGAAGTGGAAGAGAAGTCCTGAGGGAGAATCTGTATCTCTGCTTCAAGTGTATCCTGGCCTGCAATACAACGTGTCTGTCCTCAACAAAAAAACAAAGAAGCGGGTAAGCTTTGACAAAGCTGTAGAACTGCCTATTAAATCTGTGCTCTGTGCTTCCTGAAATGCACTTTGTGTCCGTAACAGCAAGGGTTGAAACAGGATTCATAGCCTTATAGGAATTGTAGGATCATTCAGGTTAGAAGGGAGCTCAGGAGGTCTCTAGTCCAAAGTCCTGTTCAAAGCAGGATCAGCTGTGAGGTTAGACCAGGTTGCTCAGGGTTTGTCCAGTTGCATCCTGAAAACCTCCAAGGATGGAGACCACACAACCTGTTCCACTGCTCGACTTACCTCTTAGGGAAAAAGTGTTTCTTTATGTCCAATCTGAACCTTCTGTTCCGCTGCTCGACTTACCTCTTAGGGAAAAAAGTGTTTCTTTATGTCCAATCTGAACCTCCCTTTTTGAACTTATGTCCATTGTCTCTTATCCTCCCGCCATTCAGCACTGTGAAGAGCCTGGCTCTATCTTCCTTGATGACCTCCCTGGGACATCCTGGGGTCTGCTGTTAGGTCCCCCTGAAGCCATGCCTTCTTCTCCAGGTGCAACAAACTCAGTCCCTCAGCCTCCCCTCACAGGGCAAGTGCCCCATACCCAACCATCTTGGTGATCCTCTACTAAACCCACTACAGTTTGTCGGTCTTCCCTGTATTGGGGGGAACAAAACTGGTCACAGTATTCTAGATGTGGTCTGATGAGCCCTGGGTGGAGGACGATAATCTCTCTCATCCATCTACCTCCTCTTCTGTTACCACAGCCCAGGGTGCTGTTGGTCTCCTTTGCTGTAGGGGCATGTAGCTGGCTCATGTTCAGCTTGCTGCCTGTCCCCAGTCTTTGTCAGCAGAACAAATCCTCAGCCAGTCAGTCTACTGACAATACTCACAATACATCGTGATGAAGTGTATCCTTTGTCACCACATCTGAACATCTTCATTTGTCTGTCTCTGCAGATTTACGTTTCATTAGCAAGTAGTAGTTCCCAGAGTAAACACGGTAGGTGAGGAAGAGTTCAGTGATCAGTTACAAAAACATTCATTCTTCTGTTCCCATCGTCCAGTCACAATCTCTGTTTGGCAAATCTCTGAATTTCCTGAAAAGACACAGAAACTTCACGCCAAAAAGGTCACCTTTTGTCAAAGGGGGTATTAAAATGTCAAGATCAGCAATTAGAGGTAGACAAAAATAGCAATTATTTTGGACTCTAAGGTCTGTATAACACTCAGCCTCCTTTACCTCCTTTACCAGAACATCCCAATTTGAAAGATTTTGTGGAACTGTTACTCTGTGCCTTTTATCGGCCTATGTGTCAGGACAGAGCTGGAGTGATGCTTTAGCTCTATTGCAACATCGACATGAGAATGTGGGCTAGTGGTGGCACATGGTCCTGCTTCATACAACACATGAAGTTGTTCAGTAGTGGTAGAAGAATGATTGAATGGAAGATAAAATATTCAGAGAGGACATGACCTAATAAATAACTTGAGTTGTGACAGCATTCAGACAAAAAGGATGCAGCTGGCAGTTCTTATAGTATCATTATTCTTTCCAGAAAATTTGTGTGCTTGTGACACATTTTGTATATAAGATCTTTACCTTTCTGTAACTGAGGAGTTAAAGGGGAAAAAAAAATATCTTTTTTTTGTGTCTTCCAGTGGTGGTTCTCCATCAGCAACAACACCTTGGTTGTGCCCTGGTTAGAACCAGGAACATCTTATTGTGTCAGCGCACAGATACATGTCACCACACCACTTTTGTACAGTGGGTTCTCCAAAGAATATTGCATTGATACCTTGAAAGGTATGTATAAGCTGGCAAATGACAAAAAGAAGATGCAAGTACCGATGAAAAAATCTTTTGCCTTTAGTAAAACATAGCTGGGATCTACTGACTGGAAGGTACGTCAGTACCTCTGAAGGAAAGGATCTGCATTCTTTGAGTCGTAGCGGATGGAGAATATTTTTTTCTCCTTGAAGGAGATTTGGGAGTGGCAGAGCTGGGTCAGTCTGAAGTTAGCAACAGGAGAACCTGAGGGAGGGGTTGTTATTTCTTTTTAGAATTTAATTTGTAATTTACGTAATAATAAAAATTTGTCCTGTAGTTCAAATGTCATTTTAAAAAAATTTCCTGCAAATTCCTTGTTTATCTGAAATGTTTGCATCCCATATCTAAAAAGCAATGTGGTGAATGCACACATTAGTATCTGAATACATTAAAAAGTTGCTCAGTACAATGAAAACTTCTGTTTTGTTAACAGATAAAACAGCAGATGAGACTATAACGATCATACTTGGACATGTTCTGCCTGTCATACTGGCTGTCCTTTTTATTTCAATTACCTGCTATTGTGTGCACAGGTATATTCATGTCAGCAAGCAGAAGCATCCAACAAACCTGGTAAGTGTTCTCTGTTGCAGGAGGTTGCTGCCAAACTTGGCACTCACAGTAGAGCTGTGCATTTTCTGGGGCTCCGAGTCAGCTGAGAGGAAACCATGGCTAGCTGCAAATAAAAGCTCTAGTCGCCACTCAGGTCAAGAAAAGAACATCACATTGAGGGTTATTAAATGCAAGAAAAGCAGAGTAATAAGTCAACTTAGCAACTATGTCTAAAAAGATGACCAAATATGAAAAGATGACCGGAACTAATGAGGATCAGAACAGAGCTGTTCATTTCGGAAGAGTCATTGCCATAAGCAAGGTCTGAGGTGCACTGAGGCAACCTCTGTTAGGAAGTCAGTGCTCCCTAAATTTATCTAGGAAGAAGCAGTGTTCAAAAGTTATTAATTGGTTGAATTGAGAAATAAGAAGGGAAGATAATTAAGCAGAAAAGAAATCCCATGATGTTTTCTTGGACTATAAATGTGTATTACCAGATTTTTCCACTTAATTGTGATTGTGAAGGATTTAGCTCATGTGCATCATACAGATAATTTAATCTGTATTTCAGGAATACTTTCAAATACTGCACCATTCCCTGACACACAAAAATGTATGAACAAACGCAGTCTGTTATTTAGACAGCCCAAATACACTTTCTATGCAAAAATGTTTGCAAGTTTCTTAGAGCTGCAAAGTTCGTTAGTTTTTACAAAGAACACATAAAGTCTAAGAAATGTTTCTTGTTTCCAGCTCATAAGCCCAGCAGAGCTTTCTCACAGCTATCTCTAAACAAGTTGCTCAATCATAAATATGCAATTACAATAATGAATGAACGTTTTGATGTTAATCCAATTTGCACGACACCGTGGGATGGGAGGTATAAGGGAGTTGGTTTCAACATGCTGATCTTTCTGAAGAAATCTAGAGCAGCCCAGAGGTGGTAGGAGAAAAGTTCTCGGAGGGACTGTGTACAGTCAAAACAGACAGAAGGGTTCAAAAGGAGTAGAGCAGCTGCAGCTGCAGTGTGTTCAGATGTGCACGGCGACACGTCCTGCACTTGGCAAGGCACCAGCTTTATCACAGAATTGTGAAATCACAGAGTGGTTTGAGTTGGAAGGGACCTTCAAAGATCATCTAATCCAACTACCCTGCTGTGGGCAGGGACATCTGCCACTAGATCAGCTTGCTCAGAGCCCCATCCAGCATGACACTGAACACTTGCAGTGGTGGGGCATCCACAACCTCTCTGGGCAGTCTGTTCCAGTGCTTCACCACCCTCACAGTAAAGAATTTCTTCCTTATATCCAGTCTAAATCTGTCCTCTTTCAGTTTAAAACCGTTGCCCCTTGTCACTACAGGCCCTGGTGATAATTCTCTGTCTTTCTTATTCTTTATCCTGGGATGCAAGGCATGGTAGGGGTAGATACCTTGGTTTCTCCTGGACAGCTAGCAGGACAGAGCTCTTTACAGTCCAAGAACGTGAAGGGCTACTTAGTGAAAATTCCCTCGATTAGCAGACTAAACTTCAACTCCAGGAGATTTTTTCTGTAATAAATGTATAATTTGTATGATGGAGGATTTTTTAATATCCATTGCACTTTTTTGTGACCACCTTGAAGGTTCAATTTTATCTCTGGATTCAGTTGATGTTAAGGTAACAAATGAATATAGACCTGGTATTTTAGTGATGCTCTCTGGCTTTCCCAGCCCACAGACTGTTCTACATGAGCACACCCCGCGTGGTCAGGGGGAGGTGGAATAAGCAGTTTGTTTTGGTCCAGCACTTCTGACCTGGGGGAGCTTTCAGACTACCTAGTACATCGATTAGTGGTCTTAGTCTTCCGTTCAAGCTTGACAGCAGTGAAGTGCACCTTCTAGTTGTTGTTTTTCCATTGCACTTCCCTTTAGTGACTGCTGATACAGTACTTATTCCTGTTAGAAATATTACTCGTTTCAGAAAGATTCCTATTGTTCAACTAGATGATATAAAAGCAGCGTGGGACCTGGGACAGACTGCACAGTGCAGGCTCCATACACTGCACTTCAACCTCATGTATAGCTTCCTCTCTGAAAGGAGACCTCATATTATTTAATTCTCTGTAAGCTATACCTTAACAGGGTACCTGACTCTGTGCTTGTGGGATGTGGTTTTCACTGCACTTCCTCTTCACTGGTTAAAAAGAGAGGAAGAGATTCTGTAGCCTATGACCCAAGGACAACTCTGATATTTTCTCCAAAGTCACTTGAGTGTATGCTGGTGGAAACAGAAGCTGAATTTGGCAGAATTGTTCTAACCAATATTTTGACATGGGGAAGGTGAGAAAAAGGATATTAGAGCTAGTCATAACATAGTTTTACTACAGATAGAATGAAAAAAGTAGAGCATATTAACATCCTGGAGGCTTATATGATGAACTTCCTTCTTCCCTAAACTGAAATAACCTTCTCCTAAGGTCTAGCCTAGCCTTATATTTTAAAAATATATGACAGTGTAAAAAGCAGCAAGATGGTATTTTTATTATACTGCACTCAAATCAAAATATTTTTTGCTTTTCAGGTATGGCACTACACTGACAAATGCAATGAAATGGTTTTCATACCACGTGAAAAAATAGTGGTCAACCTTATCAGTGTTAATGTGGATGATAACAAGGCATCTCAGGAATCCAGTCATCTATCAGAAAGGAAAAGTCCCCATTATTACACTGTTTACAGTGACACAGAAGGGAAGGATTTGCCTTCAAAAGAAGTGCTGGAAACAAAACACTTGCTTGATATTTCACATGAAGAGGGTATTTTAGTGGATGAGGACCAAGCTGGGAACTGGCCATCTTACGGCCAGCCTGGAACAAAGAATGCTTTGAGACAGAAAAATGCAGGGACTGTAGAGTATGAACATGATGTAAGGGCTGAAGACTTCAGTCTTGGTCAGAAACTAGAAGAGAAGACTTCTGCCCCCAGGGGACTAATAGGTGAGCCACAGATTGCTTTGGGGGACTTGGTTAATATGAAAACAGGACAGCCATATTGCCCCCAACTAGAGGTGAGGGCAGCAGACCCCTGTTTGGGACAGAAAATAGAGGAACTTAATTTGAAGATGATTGATGCAGCAGATGAATTGCTGGGTGAGACACGTATCAACTTGGCGGACTTGGATACTGAAAAATCTGGGCAGACATCCTATCCTCAGCTGGAAAAAATAGCACAGACCGTATTACTAGATTGGGATCCTCACACTGGAAGACTGTATATTCCTACCTTGCCCAGTGTTGAAAATCAGGTGTGTGAAGGAGTGTTCAAGTGTGATGACCCTGACAAAAAGGGTATTTTGTCCAGACTGTATGAGAAAGAGGTATCTGATGAATCATCAGAGGACCAAGAAATGTATCTCCTGCAATTCAAGGAACAATGGGGACTGCACGTAGAAATGGAAGACTGAACAGTAATTTTCTAAAGTGTTCTAAAATGCAAAATCTTGTTTGCTTTGCTGAAGAGCGTGGTGGACTCAGTGGAGCAAATGTATCTTAATGTATTGAAGTTTTCAGAACCATCACAGTTGAACAACTTATTCGTGATATGTTATTTATAACAGTTTCCAGATGTGATCTAAGTGATTTTGACTTCCATCGTAAGCCTCTCAGGGAAAATATGATGGTTATGAGATTATCTTCTTTTTAAAAATATATATATATATTTTTACTCAGGATGTTAGGATTTTCACATTGTTGTTCCTACCAAAACAAATTACCAGCATTTGAAAGCAGTTGTTTTTAGCAAATAAAAAAGCAGAAATATGACATTTTGCTGGGCTGTTTCACATGTCTTGACACAATGCAGTCTTTTCTAGGTCTCACTCCTGCTACTTGTAGTGGTCTGAGCTGACTTTTGTGGAAGTTAAGGGCATTCCAGTGTATGTTTTGTTTCTGTTTTATAAATATTCTTCTACCTAATGAAGTTCTTACTTATTTCTCTGTGGGGTCCCTTCCATACTGTGTTGTGCAGATACGCAACCAGCAGCAATTCTTTTGGCAGGTGTGCCTACAAGCGCAACAGACGTAAGGGCAAAGAAAGCAAGCATTAGTCATATTTTAAACTGGGGGAAAATGTGGCACAAAGGGATTCAATGAAATGCCTGTAATCTTACTGGATGGACCATGTCTCACCCAGCCTTAGACGTGCGCAGTACAGCATCTGTATGACTCATGTCCTGCAAGTGTCTGTTCCTCTCAGATGACTTTAACGGCAGGATGGTGTGACTAGCTCAGACGGAGAAGTCTGCCCCAGACACACCACTGCTTCTGCAGACACATCCCACAAGCCATGGCAGACCCAGAAAGTGTACCTGTGGGCTTTCTTTTCTTATCTGATGTCCTGACCAGGACTTCTGATACAAGTTCACTTTTTCTCCATGTCATGGGATGCTTATTTAGGATAGTAAAATTACAGGATATTCTAGAAATTACTTACTAGGGCAAGTGATATTTTTCTTTTCAAAGACAATCCATCACTTTTCTACTTAATGGCCCTTTTTTGACCTTTTTTTTTTTTTGAGCACCAAAAAAAATCACAGCAATGATTCGTTTGGTTTTGAAGAGGAGAAGCAAAAATAAGAGGAAAAAACCCTTTTCTATGGTGTTTAAAACTTCTGCCCTCCAAACTAGGTACATGGTTAGGTTATTTTTGAAGGAGGACCTTTACCAGTATCTTTTCTCTCGGGTAATATTTTTGTTGCATGACCTTGCCATTTTCTGTGACTATTCATCCTCTGAAATATTTCAGTTTTAGTCATAGACTTTAAAACCAGAAATTACAGTAAAATATTTCATGCTGATGACTCCCTATCTGATGGAAAAAATGTCCTTGACTGTTTTTATGATAAAGATCTAGATCGTGTAGCAATGTTATACCTAAATACTTATATCAATACATTTGTGCATCAGGAGGTTCACAGAGGAGGGTTATAGCTCAGTATGAAAGCTCCCTGAACAGATGTGAAAAAGGGCAAAATTTCTACTATTATAGACCAGCCTCATTTAAGCCACCCAAAATCATTCCCAGTATTTCCTAAAGTTTTCTTAACTAACCTCTTTGCACATAGTCTCCTAATTGTCTTTTGTAATGTGGAGGCTTTAACCCACTGTTAGGAAACAATTATTTACTTTTTTCTGTAGTCTGTTGAATTTTATCCAGTTACTTTTGAGTTCCCTTCCAACCCCTAACATTCTGTGATTCTGTTATACTGCTGCCCTAAGACTTACTGCACTTGTGTTTAGTGTCTGTCTTCCACATGGAAGGATGAGGATGCTCCAGCTCCCTCAATAGTTTGGTCCAGCTGCCAACCAGCCTTCCTTGAAGAAGAAGGTATCCTTATGTTTGGTTTGTATTTCTTCTGGCCTTATTTGCTAGCTGCTGGTGTCTGCTGCTGCTTGTTTTGTTAGCCTTGCCCCAACAGTTACTACATGCAAGGACACTTACATACCATAATCAAGTAATTGCTGATTAAAATTTGAAAACTTGGTAACTAAAGCATAGAATCTCACTTCATTCAGTTCTTTGGTCATTGTAATCATCTTTCTCTGCATCTTACCCTGTTTTTTCTGCTTTTCAGTTACAATGAAGTTGTACAGCATTTATTTCCTCTTTTGTACTTGAAAACGCATCACCTTCCTAGTTAACATTACTTATGATTAGGGCATGAGATACTGAGATTCTTTCAGTCACAGATGCATTTCCATGATAGATTTATGTTTTGAAATAGTAGTTAATTTTTGGACCAAAACATTTGTGATGGAAATTTGCAGCACTTTCAGTGTTACTTCCTTTTGATCTGAATTTGCATTAAATTCAGAACTGATACTAGATTATGCAAACAGACCTTTTTCATATTTATAAGATCCACTTTCAAAGTGTTCTCAGGATAATCACAGCAAAAAAAGCTGGGGGAAAAAAAAACTAAATGAAGCTAAGAAAGCTAAACTTTCTTTTATATGCAAAAGAATTTTTCAGGTTAGCTAGTCAAATTCCAGAATTGATGAGGAAAAAAAAGTGATGCCAATTTCCATCATCATAATACCAACGAATTGTTGATGGCTTTTTTAATATCCTCAAAGTTACTCCTACTTTGCCTTAAAAATCTTTTAATGATATTAAACAAATCAAACTGATCAGACCTGGTACCTTCAGCAAGCCAAACAGTCAGCAAAGAGCAAAATACTTCCATGTAAAATTGTAATTCTACCTACAAGATTTCAGACAAGAGGCAAATATTAATTACATGGAAGATCCAAGCAATAAGAGAGCTGACATGTTCCTAGCCTTTATTACATTTTACTGAATTTTGGTTAGCCACATTTAATAGACTTAATGCAGCCAAAAGCAAGGTCATATAGCTAGGCAAAGGCTATGTATCTATATAGGCAAAGGCTATGCTCAAACATTGCAGCCTTAAAATCAATGATTTTTAAAAAGATGTGTGAGATTACTGGAAGTAAGTAGTGGTATGTTGAGGACAAAAGGATGTGTATTTCTTGACTACAATGGCAATGAAAATAGAATTGCACCTGCGTCTATAGTACTGATGTGACCACTACTGGAAAAATGCATCCAGTTTACAAAACAAGCCAAGCCAGGAAGACAGAAGGCAAATCCTACTACAAAAGGCTAAGGCAGTGCTCTTTGAAGCTTAAAAAACAGGAAGCCTAGCTATCAAAATGAGATCTAATGGTGATGAAACTGATAGCTAGGTGTGGGCACACAGTTTTGGAAAAGAAACTATATTTTGTAAGTGTGGTTTTGTTGCCTACAACGTAGAGAGAGTGACAAGAGTTCTTGAAGGAGAGACTGAAACAGGCAGCTGAGTGCAGGATACCTGTGGTCTGACTTATAGTGGCCCTGAAAAAAACTACTGCACAATGAGAACGAGCAGATGGAGAAGTCCAAATACAGCAGGCAAAAATGCGGTGTGATCTGTGTGCCTGGCACCACGAGGACTGCAGCTGGAGTGCCCGCCCAGTGCGTGAAGTTAGCCCGGTGAGGAATACGTGATGATTGCCTAATCCATAACGCAGGATAACCTGTAACATGAAGCATAGGGAAATGATTAAATTGTTAGAAGGAAGACCAAATTGCACAGTCATTGGATGCAAGCAGCTGGATTGCCTGGACTTCAGGGGGCTCGCTGATCACCTCACCAGAGGACCGCTAAAGGAGCATGGGTGGCTGGACAAGTCAGAGATGAGGGTGTTCTCTGCAAAAGTGGGATCAGAAAGAGTTCTTGGAGTGGCCCGCTGTGGGTACAAGGTAAGTGGATGCATTTTGGAGATGCCAACAGTGCATTAGCATCTGTGACAGTCCAGTAATCTGCAACACGCTGATAGTGCAGTGGTTAGAAGGAGAGGTAGGCTCTGGAAAGAATAGCCTACACTGTCAATCAGATAGCACAGATTTTTCTGTAGTTATTAAGGCAGGTCCAGCAAGAGCTCTGAAAAACATTCTTGGGGTCTAGAAAACATACAATATGAAAACACCCTGGGCAGGGAAATACTTTATTTTTAAGTGACTGCACAGAGCATGCTCAATTTCTACTGATTTCAAATTAAATTTTAAATTAAGCTTACGCTTTAGCACTTTCCTAAAGATGAATGAGTTCCTGAATTTAGGACTGACAAAATCTAACAAAGTTTATCAGAAGAGAGTTAAGTCATGACTTCTATAAGGTCTAACCTGCAAATACAGGCTTAACCAGACAAAATTATTGGAATGTGAAGCAAGCCAAACTTAAAATAGAATGGCAGCATGGTTCAAATATTTTAAAACAATGCCTGTAGGTCTTTCAAACAATAATGTCTTTCTTCAACAATAACGCGAACAGATGGGTGATGTTTCTCGCCTGGAATATGCTGAATGGTATAATGATGCTTATACACTGTCAAGTCTTAAGACTGTTTAATCTTTTTTTCCCCTTTAAATAAGAAATGTTGGCTCATATGTACACTTGAGTTAAAAAACAGTTATTCCAAGCACCATATTTTTAAACAATTGCAGTTTCTATATCTAACGTGATTCATTCATGCCAAGTCAAAGATTTAAACCTGTTCAGCTGTCTCCCATTATCCATTCAAACCACCAATGTTCTCCATAAAAGGAAAACACAGCAACAAGTCAAGATTTTTCTGCTTTGGTTTTGCATATAGGTTTCAAGCTTCATCAGCCCGGGATCACACAGCAGTAAGTGTAGGAAGTCATTTTCCTGTTTAGTGTCACCTAGAAACCATGAAGATTTTTGGTCATTTGTACCAGCAATAACCGTAAGCTGGTCTCCTTAATTTCACACTGTCTTTTCCCTTTCCGGTACAAGAGAAAGGAAAAAAAAAAAAAAAAAAGAGAGAGAGAGAACAAAAAGTGCAGACTTCTTTTAAAAAAAAAGTTTTTTTAAAACCT